CCGGTATATCTTTTTTATAGCAGTTTTATGGAAGTGGACATTTTTAGACCTTAATGACTTAAGAGGGTAGTAAACATGTTTCAGTGTTCTATTGATCTATTAAAAACAAAATGTGTCAAGAGAGACTTTCTTACAAAAAATGGTGCCATATGCACTAACACAGACAAAATGATGACCAGATGAAGAGGAAGCATTTGACCAAATGGACAAAAATGTCCATAGTAATGCATGAGGGTTAAACTATTTGACAGAGTGCTGGACATTTTCTAAATGGTGAATATCTTCAGTTGTTTTCCTTCTCATTCATCATTTAAGACATTTATTACATTAGTCTTATTTTTTTGGGTTGCTTTTCCCATTTGGATTCTTACTTTTCTGTTTTTCTACACATCCGTTCCCTCACCATCTCAATTTGTGAGACGACCGATCATCAACAGAACCTCCCACATAATTTTTTTTGTGTAATTTTTCTACTAAAAGAGAATCTAAACCGACTTTATGGCCCGTGGTGTCCACTTCAAGTCCTGCTTAAACTACATTTTAAACTTCCTCTGTAGTCCTTTAATATCCTCGTGGAGGTCGAGAGCATCTTTATCAGCTGAGTTTAAAAACACAAACAAACAATCGAAGCTTCCAGTGGACACCGCGGTCATACTGCGGCTGTGGCGGTGGCCCCTGTGTGGGTGTGTGCGTGACCGCAGGTGGCATGGTGTGTCTTGCAGCCTCCGCCGTTGCTGGCGGCGTCACCGCCTCAGAGCAAACCTTCCAGATCGCTGCAGGCGCGGTGACTGTGGCAGGCCAGGTCCTCGCCGGCAAACTTCCCCTGCCCGCTAACAGCAAGATTGTCACGCTCAACATGCCCGCCACTGCAGGAGGTAGGCCGCATGCGCGTCATCCATTTCTGAAAATTTTTGGGGCCGACACCTGCACAAATGGATGCCATGAAGCGAGACTCAGAAACGCTCAGCATGGACGACCCCACCCATCTCTAATTAATGAATTACCTTTTGATGGATGAGTGTCTGTGAGAAGAATCTGGATGGCATTTTTTTTGTCTTTGTTTCCCCCCCACTGAGCATGCCTCTCTTCATTCTTGACCGCGTGTGGCTGCATGTGTCCCATGCATATTTTGAATCTGCATATTGATGTTCTTGTTTTTCCCCAACAGGTGTGGTGCAGCAGAAGGTCGTGGGCATATTCCCCTCTGGGCCTCCGGCTAACCTGAGGACATACAGCACGCTACATCCCACGACCGGAAACATCAACCTCAGAGCCTCCAGCTCCAACACGCAGCAGCAGGTATTTCAACATGCAGCTCAGGAAAGTGTAAAGCATGAGGAGGGAGTGTTTTTTTTACCTCTGGCTTTCTGTCTCAGGTCGTCAAAGCGGGAGGTCAGATCCAGCCCGGCACCACGATGAGCCCGTCACCTTCAACATCTACCTCTGTGAGCTCGCCGATGGTCAGAAGTCCGGCTCCACAAGGTGAGGTTTTGGATACTACATGTACCATTATCTCAGTTATCAATGGTGACAAAGCTTCAGGAAAAACTGCAGATCTTCAGTCATATTTTAAGTTGTCAAACTCTTTTTAAAGGCTTTATATGTGAGTTTTCAGAGTCCTATCTTCAGTTTGTTTACATCGTCGGGACGGCCGGCTGACTCCTCCCCTCGTGTATAAAAGTTGTTTAATTGAGGGACTAGAGAAAAGAAGAATAACATACTGTACTCACTGCTTAACTGTGTTTCTAGATCACGCTCATTTCAGGTAAATTTACATGCAGTGTGAAGATACCAGCATAATAAAGATCGCTAGCATTAGCATGCTAACACAACAATGCAGCGCCAGTTGTTTTGGTTTCATGCTGGTGCTCAAGGGCGACATCTGCTGGATCAAAAAATCAAATATGAAGCCTTTAAACTAATAAATTTCTTCTCCATCGTGGTCTCCTGCAGGAACACCTCAGCAGGCTGTGGCCCCGATGGGCCCGGGTCAGTCTGGACCTACACCCATGAGCGCTTCTACTCCTGCAGCTCAGAGAGCAGCAGGTCCTCCAGCCACAGCAGCACCTGGACAGTCACCTGCAGCCGCCCCCCAGACCCCCAGACCACAGCAGGGTCAAGTTAAACTCACGATGGCACAGCTGACGCAGCTCACGCAGGGGGCTCAGGTGAGAGAGAGACCCCGTGCTCTCATTTCAAATATTCTTTGTTCTTTTGTCATTTCTTCCTGACATCTTCTAAACTCTTCAGGAATCAAATATTGAAGAGATATGAGCTGGAGCAGTGACTTTCTGTTTTTCTATTTGGTTATTTCCTGGCTGATGGTCTTGGTTAATCTGTTCCCATTATTTTTGTTGTTGTTTTGTCTAAAAACTTAATTTGTTTTGGCCAACATCATCCACTGATTGATGAAAACATTTTTATGTTTCTGTGAATAATAATGCACAAAAATAAGAAGGGGTAGGAGCAGAACATTTTTCAACTTCTTCCTGTCCCTTTT